CCTGTACCCTAAACCCTAAACCCTCATCCTCCAAGTAGACCCTAGACCCCAGACCCCTTCCCGAAGGACTCCTCGCCTGATTCCCTGGGCTTGCCTTACGAAGATGGCGGCTTTGACGACTGTGCAGAGTACAGCGGGGCGGCGCCCCCGGTTTCGGGTTCAGCGGTTAAGGCTTAATGAGGTAGGGTTTTAGGGTTTGTGCGCTAGTGGTTTACGGGTTGCCGCGACTGGCACCGATGATGATCACGCCGAAAACCCATTTCCAATTAAGGCCCCTGGACACCCCAAGAACTAAACCCTAAGCCCCGTGAGGGCTTAGACCCTACGCCCAAACCAAACCTGAATTTCGTCAATCCCGCAACCGGAGGCCAGTATAAAGCCTAAGCCCCAAACACTAAATTATTATAGGCCCTAATATGGGATTTTTAGGGACCCTACCAAAAAAGTAGGTTCTGGTGAGTTAAGCTCAACCTAAACCCCAAACACTCCTCAATTCTGGATTTGAGGCCATGACCGCGGAAACTGAGCTCCTCGCCAATGGACCCGCCACCAGTGCAGGCGGAACTGCGAAAGCGAGGCCACTCGCGGTTCAATGAGGGTTTGCTAGGCTCTACTTGGAGGTTCAGGGGTAGTTATAAGTGGAGTTATAAGTAGGGTAACTATATATAGTTATAACCCATATTAGGGGACTTATAACCCCATTTATAACTACCCCTGAACCTCCAAGTAGGCTCTAAAGATGTCACCGGGTTTGATACGAGTTCTGCTACAATGAACGTGGAGATGCACAGCCGCCACCTACCGCTTAGTGTTTAGGGCTGTGTGGTCTAGGTTCAGGGCAGTAGGACTTTAGGGTGCAGACCTGCACGATTTAGGGCTTTTGGAGTTAAACCCTAACCCGTCTTCAGGGGTTGACTACTACAAGCCCAAGAGGGCGCAGAGTTTCTGGACGCCTAAACCCACAACCCGAGACCCTGAACGTTGGAAATGGAGCTCAACAAGAAAATTAAAACCGACCCCTGCGAACTCCCTTGCCTGGGCAGGTCGCAAAAGCCTGTTCGCCCCGCCAAGCCACCAAAAGTTGCCGCAGAGCCCACCAAGGCTGCTCGGAGCTTCCCTACTGTATGGGGGTTTCAGAAAATTAGGGTACCTTATTTTGGGGTCCTTATAATAGGGATCCTATTATTTAGGGTACTATATTAGGGTCCCCTATTTTCGGAAACCCCCATATGACTATAGCGGTTACTTTAAGGGTTTCTAGTAGAGGCATGTTTGTGTTTGGGTGTGTGTACATGCGTACGTACGTGCGTACGCAGGGAGGTACGTAGGTAGGTCGGTGGGTTAGGTAGGCAGGCAGACATGTAGGTAGGTAGGTAGGTAGGTAGGTAGGTAGGTAGGTAGGTAGGTAGGTAGGTAGGTAGGTAGGTAGGTATCTGTGTATATATATATATATGTATATATGTATATTGATGTGTATATATATATATATGTGCCTGCAGACATATTTGTATATGCAAAACTATATTACCTAAACGGTAAGCCCCAGATCAACATATAATGTTTCAGCGAGATGCAGAAGAAGCCTTATGAACCCTTTAGACTACCCCTCATAGTATCCGTTGTTATACCACTTGCACTACCCCTTACTCATACTAACAGTACCCTTCAGCACCCGGTTTCCTTTGTAGCACCCTTGCAGTACCCACTAAAGTATCTGTACAAGACCCTTTTTGCAGCCTTTTAGAAACCGCTAAACCTCTAAACCCTAAACCCTAAGTAGGAGTGAACTCTGACACCAAGAATCACAAAGCCGCCGAAGCCCCCGGAGTCACAAGAGATACATGCTCTTAACAACAAGGGCTCAGAGTTTAGGGCTTGTAGTCGTAGCCTCAACTAGCAAATAACTCCTCACATGATCGTTCCTATTGTTTTCGGCTTCTGCGTCGTTCTATACATTCCGATGGAGCTTGTCTCTCTCAGCGCAAATGCTCCATGATAAGTTCTGGATTTTCGAGCGAAGACGGTCTTAGTGAGAAGACAGACAGAGGTGACAATGGCAATCCTGGCAATCACAATAATGTAGGAGCCTTAATAATTAGAATAAGGTTTTGGTGTAGATTGTACTACAGGTATAATAAGGAACCCCCAAAATACTGCAGGTAATTATAAGGCCCCTATATTAAGCTATCAAACCGCTGGGCCCTGCGCTGCAAAATCACACATTCCTGCAGGCTCCAGCATGTGCCGGCTACGCTCCACCGGTGCGGTTTGAGCTTAGGGGCCACGGGGATTTTTAGCTTCGGAGACTCAAGCTGAGGATTCATATGATTCCCGGCCCTGCCGCAGACTGGGTTCCGGAGTACCATACTTGAATACTTTCTTTGGGTTCCTTAAGCGAACCATTATGACATGAAAGTCTAGACTTTTTCTCCCTGGTTACTGCAAAGTCTAGTAGATGAAGGCCTCAACAAGTCAGGCTTCACAGCCAGATAGCTTCAGATGCCACATTTTGGCCGGCTGGCCCTTCTGCAGATCGCGTAGCCTAGGTTCCTGAGTAGTACCCTGTTGCCCTTTTTATTGTAGTGCCCCCTTATTAAACTGAATAGCAGGAAAAAGGGCACCCTTATCATTAAGGGGTCACTCCGGGACTTAGTCCTGCAGCTTTAAGACCTACAAGGCCCGAATCTAAGTCCCGATGCAGCCGGAATCCTTCCTCATGATACTATAGGGGGGGTTTAGGGTTTAGGGTTTTGGGTTGTGGGTTTAGGGTTTAGGGTTTAGGGTTAATTACCTATAATTACTGTTTGGGGGGTTCCTTTATATGATTACAGTACAATATACCCCAAAACCCTGTTCTAATAATTAAGGCATCAAGGCCCCTACCATCGAGCGCCCTTATAGTAGATCCCTTACAGAACCTTTTAGGGATCCCTGTAAAGGAACCCCAAAACCCCGTTCTAATCCTCATGGAAACAGGCGACTTAAGCTGCAAAAAAAAACTCAGTTTCCCCTGCAGGAACCTAAGCTCCTCTGTCGTTCTGGGATTTGAGGGTTTTGGGTTTAGGGTTT